CACGCCTATAAATAGAACCAACGCGACGCACCATAAAGAGTGTATATTATTAGTTCGCTTTAATCAGTGTGCTATAAAATTTCGAAAGCTATAACTGTGATTTTTATAATGCTTATCAATCGGAAAACCTAAGATATTCGACCAAGAATATCTATAAATTTCGAGCGTTACAAATCGTTTAACTTCAGTTGATTCTCATCCGACATTAGTATTTTTATGAAAACATTACCTAACTTCAACGATAGAAAACAGCGTGTGTGGCCAAGGAGACAAAGCTAGCTAGCTTCCCGGCAAATCGTACTTACATCAACTCGCTCATCGTAAACCCTCGATAAGATATCAAGAAAGTTCCAGACTAGAAAGAAAACTTTACATTGTTTGTAAGTTGGTGAAACTTTTGTTTATGAATCATTGTTTGTAATAACTATTTGTAATAATTGTTATTGTGAATTGTATTGTTGTGTATATATTAAAACGTATTTGTATTCAAAAAGAAAACTGTGTGTATCAATCTTGTTGGTAAATATTACAAACTGACTATATGTCGGCATTTATTTATATACTAAATCCAAAGTACGAAATTTAAATTATTTAACTCCGCTTAGGACTATTCGAAATTCTAATACGTAACAACTTTCTCTTGAACTTGTTTTGATTACTTTGAATACCAGCACCCAACAGTGGCAGATGCATTAGAAACTAAACTACATCCGCCGATTTTTAGTTTCTTGGACACTTGTAACCCTCATAGTTCGAAACCCCATTGGACGAGGCCACAAAACACAAGCACTCTTACCAACAAAATTATAGTATTAAATTACGGACTACTACTGGTTAGACAAACCTAAATTACTCAATCTACCTACAATATAATTAGAGGTCTTTGCGAGTGTTTCTGCTACTTTATTTGGGTTAAAAAAAACTGTACATATTATAAGACAATTCATCATTTCCGAGTCAGAAATAGATAACTGATGGTAATAAGTTATAAGTAAAGAGCTCTTTAGAAATATAATTATCGAAGAAATATCATGCGTAATTAAATAATCTGAGTAGTTATTTCTATAACATGTATTATGGTAATCGGCTGGAGCTATTTTGATACGAGTATGTCTTTTAACTCGAGTCCAGACCAAAATGTCACCATTCAAAAAGTTCGAAGCTGCAATAAGTTAACATTTACAGGCATAGATCGTTGTGACCTTTACATATGTGTACATGGGTTTGTTGTATCACATATTGTGTTTGTACAGACAAGGTACTGCTTACTCTGACGTGCAGAACATTAGTTATACGATAACAAAAAAACTATCAAACAAAATTCTTTTCCTAACTTATCCAATTTGAGGGGGGTCTGTACGATGAAGGTATTGTTAAAATATACCTTATATATAAATGTATGGCTGTTTCGAAAGCAGTGAAGTAAAAAAAAAACGTTATTAATGTGGAATTAGATTGTACCTCAATTGCCCTAGTTTTACACGATGTTGCCAAGAGCGTGACTAATGTTAAAATGTCGTGTTGAACTGCTTCCATGTACTTGAATTATATGGGTATGGTATAAATTAGGTAAAAAAAAACGTAAGTTATCTAAATAAAATGTTTGTTTGTATAAAAAAATGTTACGTATTAGAATTTCGAATAGTCCGAAGCCGAGTTAACTGTAATTTAAATTTAGTAGTTAAATTGTACTTAGGATTTAGTATTTAAATATATACCGATATTTTAGTCAATTTACGATATTTGCCAACAAGATTGATACACACCGTCTTCGTTGTTAACAGAAATACGTTTTAATATACACATAACAATACAATTTACAGTAACAATTATTACAAATAGTTGTTACAAACAAAGATTTATAAACAAAAGTTTCACAAACTTACAAACAATATAAAATCTTTCTAGTTTGGAACTCCCTTGATATCTTATCGAGGGTTTACGATGATCGAGTTAATTACGAGTTGACGTAAGTACGATTCGCCGGGAAGCTAGCAAGCTTTGTCCTTGGCCACACACACTAGGTTTTCCACTGATGAAGTTAGGTAATGTTTTCATAACAATACTAACGTTCGATGAGAATCCACTAAAGTTAAATAATTTGTAATGTTCGAACTTTGTAAAGGTTCCTGGTCAAATATCTTAAGT